GTGTGTCTATTTGGGCTAAACCTTGTTGGTTTGGGGAGGGCCCCTAGAGGTTCTTTTGTAGGCTTGAAATGTTGGGTTCTTGGCTCTTTACTTGGGCAGCAGTTTTGCAATGCTTGGGGAAGTAGTTTGTAACCCCTCTTCTCTTTACTTGTAGCCACATTGCCTATGCTTGAGAGGTACATTCCACAGTGTTAGGTTGAGGTAAAATGTATTTTTGATGCAATCCAAATGGTTTAGTGGCTTGTTTTACAAAATCTAAAAAAACTTTGCCTTGTTCTTTTGCAAAATCTGAAATGTTTGGGTGGTGTATTTGCAAAATCTGAAATGTTTGCGTGGTCCATTTGCTAAATCTGAAGGCTTTAAATGTTCTATTTGAAAAAATTTGGAAAATCTCAAAGCTTTACATTTGCAAAAATCTGAAATTTTTTGTGTTCTATTTGGAAAGTTTGGTCTCTTAAATATGAAATGTTGAGCATGCGTGGTATGGTGGTGGCCATTTTTCACTTGTTTGCTTTTCCTTGCTTAAGTTATGGAAGAGACGCCTATGAAATGCTACTTGATATCCACTATTGTTGGATTGGAATAGGTTCAGGAGCTTTTCTTCGCTCCCCATCTCGCTGTTTTTTGGAAGAAATACAAGTTTTGTTTTTAGAGGAGTTCTAGGGCCATTGAATTCCTATTTGTTTGCAATATTTGACATTTAAGCTTTACCTTTTTATACTTACAAGAAATACATTCATTTCAATGACTTTCTCCATTTGTTGTGCAATGAATTTTAGTGTTTGCCCTTCAATCATATTTCATATGAGTGCACTTGGGAAACTCAATCACGTCTTTTGTTGTTCGATATGGATAAGCTTTGGATACATATATGTTATGCTACATTTGATCAATAGTAAGTGTTGATATTGCACCTGTTAGAGCTTATGCGTGGATTCATGTTGAACTTAGCCTGATATGGAAGAGATTGATACAAGGTTTTGAAACACTTCAGTGTTGCTTTGAAGCAGCTTTTGAGCATTGTTTTGAAGCATGATTGGGCTGCACTTGAGGCCCTCTTTTATGAGGTTTAAATTGCATTTTGAAGCTTTATTCGTTAAAGTTTAAGTTGCATTTTGAGGCCTTATTCGTTAAGGTTTAAGTTGCATTTTGAGGCTTTTATACATTGATTTGGACATTTTTAAGTGCTGATTTTTGGAGGCATTTGCGCACATTTTTGGGGTTGATTTGATCTTTGTTTTGAAAGAATTTAAACGTTTTTAGGCCGATTCACTTGCGGTTTTGTCCCTTAGCTGATTTTTTTAGAAGTGGATCGGCCTCCAATTTTTCGTTGATTTTTTTTGCAATGATTAAATTAAAAATGAGAATTTTTTATTTAATTATTTTCATGATTGATTTACGGCCTTAAAAAAATAAAAAAAAGAAAGGGGAGGGAATAAAAAAAATTGATTCTTAGTCTGTTGAGATGATTGAAATCTAAAGGAGAAATATGGTAGCCAATCATTCAATATTTCTTTTACATAAGAAGTATAAAATTGTAATTGTGAGAATTGGGCAAAAGTAGGAGCTTAAATGATTGAAGAGTCAGGGGCATGAATTGAAAGATCAATAGACATTGGTTAGACTTAAGCCCAATTGTTTTAATTAGGATTGAAACACATTTCACAAATTTTTTTGCCAAAACTATAGGTTGACTCCCTAGGACTTAAGAGTCGGATATTGAGCTAAGTTTGATGTAAAGATGTTCGAGGATTAGTTGGAAACACTTAATTGAGGACATAACACTTTAAAATACTTCAAGCTCAAGCTAAAGTGTAGGCCTCCTAGATTTTAGGTACATACCCTAGGTGAGAGTTCATCTACCTAATTTTCAAATAGTCGCTGAAACTAGGCACGACCCTAATTCACAAGTTAGTTAAAGCAATATACAAGGTATGCACTAGGCTGTGGTTTATGACTGATTAATTAAATCAATTAATGAAATTCTTTTCATAACTTGACTTAAAATGAAACCCAATGCTCCATGATTTGAGCTTGAGCTTTACACTCAAATCCTCCTGGCAATTGGGGATATTCCCAATGTCACATATAAATCACCCACCTTGGTCCTTTATATGTGATCTATTTTGTTTTATTTGTATCTTTTTTTTCTATGATTTGTTTTGAGTCTCTGTGGGTCGATTTTAGTTTTCCTCAGGGCTTTCCATGTGCTACTCCGTCATTTATTTTGTTATACATAAACACATATTTGTCCTGCTAGCTGAATTTCTCTACTATACTGTTACCTGCGACGTTGATCTCATTTACAGGTGCAACAATAACAAGAAACTCAGGTAGCCAAAGTTTATAGTACATTTATAGCACTTTACTGCATTTTCTTATACTGTTTTTTTGCCGCACTTATACTGTTTTCATTTACTATTCTTCATTATAACATAATTTGTTTATGGATGCTTTAAGTTAACTACAAAACCTTTAGGATATAGTCTGGTTTAGGAGATATACAACAGTTAGTCACCAAATAACAATATTGCACATTCACATATAAGACATTAAATTTGAAACTACTACTACATGGGACATGGAGCAAGTTTTCGTGGGCAGCACGACCAGAATGTAGCGGATGGAGGATGAAGATCTGCAACAGTACCACAAGTTCACATCAGCTAAACCTTTCTGTAAAATAAATAAAAACCCATAGGACTTCAATGTAGTTTGCTTAGCGAAATGTAAATCCTCACTTTATCTTTAGGCTTTTGCACAACCCTGTTGTGTAATTATAAGTCATAACACTTCTAGGATTCTGAGGTTACCGTCCGGTACAATGTAAATCCTCATATTTTTTTAGGTTATTTGCACAATCAGATATCGTGTGAATGTAAGTCCTAAATTCTAAAAATAAATTGCAGGATTAAACATTGAATAACATTATTTCAAAGTAAAGCCAAACAATAGGATGGTTGAGAAGTCACCAGGGTTTCCACTGGATCTGTGATATCCCCTACTCTTCATTCCTTTGGATTCCTTAAAATAACTGTTCATATTTGTGCCATTCTCATTTGATTTTTTCGTGTCCAATTTTGGAAGCCTAAACTTAGAAATCTTGAAATTGATCTTAATCGAGAGTTTTCTTAAGTGACTCCTGTCATTTAAGATGTAATTAACTATAGGGGTTTGTCTCTATAAGAAACTTGAAACCCAGGTAAAATAAACTCTATCTAATCCTCATATTAGATAGAGAAACTTGTCGGTCTCATATAAAAGGTTTCACAGACTAAACAGATGTCACAAACTCCTTAGTTTAGGTAATTGAACCTACTGTCAAGTGGTATGCTTATCATTCGAAATAGTGTATTACTTGTAGTATTGCGTTCAAACATCAAAACTATTCAATATGTGAGACTCGTTTGGTCTCATCTATTTTAAATTAAAATGTTACTTTCAAAAATCATAATTATATTAAAACTATTTTTCATATTTTACAAAAAAAAATCATCATCCCTTCCAAAAATAACTGCCGACAGATATATTAGGTATTCTTTTAAGAATAGGATTCTTATGAAATGATATGCACATTCATTTAATATAGGTGGTTGTCCAAATAAGTTAGTGAAGGGTTAAACTATTTCAGAGGTCTCTTGAAAGTAAAGGCGAGTGCTTATTTTCTTCTATGCATTAAATTAATATTTTTTAAATAAATAATTGTTTTATTAAATAGTTTAAAACATATATTTCATTGATGTATGATATTTTAAAAGTGAAATGATATCACAAATAAGATGAAATAATTGACATGTGAATGTACATTTTAAAAAATTTAATTGATATGAAATGTTTAGTAAATGATTAAGTTATCTATGATTACCCCCAGATGATACTGACAGTGGATGCGATATACCCTTGCATGTTATAAGAAATGGTAAAATTGTACCTTCAGGTGCAATTTGAGGATACATTTTTTAGGGTACCTTTAGATACATTTTTTAGGGTGTTTTCGGACATATTTTTGAGGATGCCTTCGGACATGACGGTAATCTTGTTATGTCTATTAAAGATGTTAAAATGGTAAATATGATAAAATCAAAGTGAAAGTTCAAGGCTTTACAAATCAATGAACTGTATTTTTCTTTTGGTCATTCATGCATAACATAACATATTAATTTAATACATATTAGACTATAATTACTCACTAAATCATACTTATAGTCGTAATTAATATTTTCTTTCAGGAGAATAAAAACTTTAGGTTGATATATTTGGTAAGGGATTTTTTTTTTACAGAAGGAGAACTGCAGCTGATAAGTATTAGTTTGTGTTGTGATTTTAATTTTCTTATGTTTACTTCTATATATAGATAATTTATATGCTGATTTGAGATTGTTGTCTACAGATGTTGTTTCTCGTTGTTTAAATTTTATTGCACTTTGTGGATTAGTGGCTCTTTTATATCTATTGGATGTCTGAAATATTTTTGTGAAATGTAAAATATAATTTTAATACCGTCTGACGACAATTTCAACCATAGTTAATTCTAAGCATAGTGCCGGTGTTTGAAATATTTTTGTGAAATGTAAAGTATAATTTTAATACCGTCTGACGACAATTTCAGCCATAGTTAATTCTAATCGTAGTGCCGGATCGTGACATCTGCTGCCGACCGCCTGATCTACTCCTACTGCCCCCGCCACACTTTTCCTTCTTGCCTCCAGAACCTGCCATCCTTTCCCCTCACAGCTATTCTATCTCTTGCCCCAGACTACTAGACCACCTTGCCACAGCCATTTGACATGATTCACCATCGTTGACCTCGCCCTTAGGCTCAGTTGTGCTTTGTGCTATTTATTTCCTGCTTTAAAATCTCTTATTGTAATTTCTTTGAAATTTCATCAATAATTTTTGCGTTATGTTATTCCTTTTGGATTAACTCCGGTATCAGGCCTGAATTCTTTCTCCTGCAAAAGATATTTATATACTACTAATTTCATTCTTACCTGTTGCAGCTTTGGGTGAGCCATGGTAGTAAGGCTGCAGAGGATAAACACTTTTTCGACTTTCATCTTGCACCTTTTTACAGAATAGAACAGGTCTGCCTATAAACTCTCAAATATGTAATTGTTTTCTCTAAAGCAATAAATTATTATAAATTCCTTTTTTTGTTCCTGATAATTAATATTCATGATTAACATGTCATCCTTAAAATTTTTATTATATTGAGCTGTTTTTTTAAGCCAATCATTTCTTGATTAAATTATAACTAGAACATTGTTTACTAGTCATCTTCTATAATAAAGATTCCACGTCGAAACTATAGGACACTAATATAGCAATCTTAAGTTCAATTGAAACCATGCAATATCACGTCATTGCACCTTCAATTTGGACCACTTTGGCTGGCATAAACCCTAAAGCAGAGGTAGTTAATTTCATTATAGATAATGGCTTCGGGAAAAAACTACTGCTTTGAAAGGCTGGGTTATATTTTTCCTTCACTTATATGTTGGTTCGATTTCATATTATAGATATTAACTGCTCTTATTGCAGCTTTTATTAGCTACTCTTCCTCTTTCTAAAAATGCCATGGCACCCAGCATTGTAACTGATCAAAACCTGAAATTACTCTTTGAATTGCAAAAGAAGGTATACCAATTTATGCAAACTTTCACCTTCTAAGTCTCTATCTACCTATCTATTGTGATGATTCCTTACTCTATTTTGAAGTCAGGTTGATACATTGCATGCAAATTATTCTGGAAGTAAGGTGTTTCTTGGTGATATTTGCATGAAACCTCTAGATGACAACTGCGCCACGCAAAGTGTCCTTCAGGTAAATGTTGCATGATTCATATTTTTCATTTGATTATTTTACAGAAAGTGGTTTAATTCATAGGAACTCCTCTCTCTCTCTCTTATAAATAGTTGTACTTTTCTAAAATAAATCTGGTGCAATTGCTAGTTTTTTATTTGCCCTGGCTATCAAGGATTAAACTACATATAGTTTGAAGGGGACAAAAAAGTTATGAAATTCATTTTAAGACTTCGATAATAGGCCTAACTAGTCTTGCACAACCAATATTTGTGTTTCAATCCAGTGGAAGGGCACCATATGAACACCCTTATTTGTAATAACCGTATGTAAAAAAATATTCATCTGTAACATTTCACAATAATAAAAAAAAGACATGATGCTCGTGGGAAATCAAAATGAAGCTTATCTCCCTTGTTTCCTTCATTCCACACAAACGAAATAATTGGACGAAAGATAAAGAGGAAGACTGAGGAAGTGAGGGTGAGAGAGAGAGAAAGGGAGTAAGATAAGAAGCCGTTAGGAAGAAGAACAGAGGAAGAAGCTTGTGCCCTAATTGAAGAAGAAGAAAGAAGAAGAAGAATAAGAAGGAGAAGAGGAGAAGGCGGCGACGCAAAACCTAGCTGAAGGAGAAGAGCTACTGGAGGGTCCAATTGAGTGGATCTAGCATGAAGAAGAAAGAGAAGTTGAGGGAGAACCAACCCGAGCAGCCAGGGAGAAAAGGGAAATTGAGCAACACCACCTGCGGGATGAAGAAATGGCCGGTTCGTGCATCTTACAGGAAGAGAGGAAGCCCTTGCGTGCTGGAGAAGGGAGTTAAGCAGCTTTAGCTTTGTTGGCATCCAGGCCAAGGGGAGTTAAGCAGCTTTAGCTTTGTAAGTGCCAGTTCGTGCATCTTACCGAACCGAGTTATGTAATAGGTTATGGTTTGTTTTTCTTTGAGATATTTTTATATTTTTTAATATGATTCACACTCATAGTTTAATAAGAGATTATGTCAATTAATTTTAGGAAGCATAAGAGAAGGGATTGGAAGAAGTTGCAACTATAGTAAGAGGTGAAAAGAATATTAGATTAGGTACCGATGTGCTTAGACAAAAACTGAGGAGGTAAGAATTTAATTTTAAGTTTTAAATTCATTATTTAATTAGGATTCAATATCAATAGGGAGAAAAATATTTTGGATTGGCGAGAAGAGTTAGTGAAAGTAATGGAAGGTTAGGGCTTTATATTCACAAGTAATATTTAAATTAATGTTTTTTAATATTAATATTAATTTGAATATTTAATTTCAAAAATCTAATGTTGAAGAACTTATGAATTGAAAGAATTGACGGATCATGATCATTAACTTGCTAGAAGAAAAAGAAATTTGAAGGAGAAAGAGATAAACTAATTAGCTTGAGGCGGGTGATTATATTTTTATATATCAATAATATTATCTCTAAATGTATGCTTGTTTTCGTCTATGTTCTAGTTCAATTAGATTTAAATTACAACAGCTTCTTCATATTATTAGATATGAAAAATTTGCATGATAAATATGTGTGTTAACATTGCTGCATAATTAGTTTTGTATTAGTTTTCCTAAAAAAATATCAGATTACTATATGACCTTTAAAAGTATGCACGTTGAGAGTCCTACATTAAATAGTTACATAACAGCTTACTTGTGAAATTATTATATTATTGCATCTCATTTTGATCCCAATAAAAGTACATTTATTCATTAGTAGATGAATGCAATTGTATGATAAAAAAGAATATATGTTATGAACATAGAAATAGTTTATATATGTTTGTATATGCATGCTAAGTGGAGGAGTTCACATCCTTTTGGTATAGACATGAGCACTAATTTACTCACACGCGTAGATGTTATTCCACCACCCCATACAACTGTGTTGTTTAGATCTTTAACCGTTGTGTCGAGGGGAGAATATTGACTTGGGGCTGCTTCTTCATATTATTAGATATGAAAAATTTGCATGATAAACATGTGTGTTAACATTGCTGCTTAAATAATTTTATATTAGTTTTCCTAGAAAAATGTCAGATTACTATATGACCTTTAAAAGTATGCACGTTGAGAGTCCTACATTAAATAGTTACATAACAGCTTACTTGTGAAATTATTATATTATTGCATCTCATTTTGATCTCAATAAAAGTACATTTATTCATTAGTAGATGAATGCAATTGTATGATAAAAAAGAATATATGTTATGAACATAGAAATAGTTTATATATGTTTGTATATGCATGCTAAGTGGAAGAGTTAACATCCTTTTGGTATAGACATGAGCACTAATTTACTAACACGCGTAGATGTTATTCCACCACCCCATACAATTGTGTTGTTTAGATCTTTAACCGTCATGCCGAGGGGAGAATATTGACTTGGGGCTAATAGACATCCTTTCACCTTCGACAATTGTGTAATTTAAATCACGAATCACTGTGCCGATAAAATAATATCGGTCATGAGTGCGCTACGTTATGTTTTGAGGGTGCTTATAACACAAATTTGAAAGCTAAGAGTATGAATTATATTAAAGTTTAAGAGATCAAATCTTGCAAAATAAAGTAAAAGAAATTGCATGTAAAAACTCTAGATTTCTTCCACGAGCAAACTTTTATGAGTATATGCTATAAATTATTATATGATTTTCCAGCATATATTAGGAGAAACCAACATAAACATTAAAATTGTGATTACTCCACTGGTTATCTCAGATAACTCATTATATTGTTATAATATTTTTTTTCAGCTTAAACTTTTGAATAAGATGAATGCTAGAGGAGATAATGTTTATAAAACGAAAGGACAACAACCTGAAAGATAACTTTTTATTTGATCAATTTGATTGCTTCATTTAGCGACTCTTTCAATTAATATGTGGATATTTAAATTATGAGTGATGAAATAGAATAATAGAAGACTTAGGGTTTTTTTGCGACATTTTTCTGTCAGCATTGCTTTTCAGGCCGCCACCACAGTTCTGTTTGGGGAACTGCTCTCTTGCCATTTTTTAAAAGTTTGTGGTAGAAAGCTTTTTTTTTCAACTTGACCAATTAAAGTGTTGTGACTGCCAGAAAATTGCAGTATGATATTTTGAAAATAAAATAAATTTGTAATAGCTACCACAACTTTTTGAAAATAATTTTTTTTTCTGTTGCAACTTTACAACAACTTCTTCAAACAACTGCAACTGCCCAAACATATCTTTAATTTCATATTCTGACCGTTTGTTTCCGTCTTAGTTAATTCTAAATCCTGGGCCGGTTGTGATACTATTAGCGTTAATAGTTGCATATGTAAAAGCAAAGCATAAATTTGTGCATGGAAGTTATGTAAACATTTAGGAATAGAGACGAAGGATAAATGACTTATGAGAACGATTGATCAACAAATAAGGCATAGAAATGGGCTGAAATAATAATCCTCCTAACCTTGAGGCTATCAAAATCTATTGATCATAGTCACACCATTTAGCAATTTAGAACCAACAAGTCCAACATAATTGCACCCCCAAAGAAGGGACACATTAGTAAAAACGCTAGCGACATTCATTTTCGTAATCTGTAAGTTTGTTAGCTACTAAAAGTTTTCTAGACGCTTCAATTTAGCTGCCGAAGCACTTCGTCTGGTAGTTTAAGATATTCAAGGAGGATATGGACTTTATTTCTCTTCAAGGATAAGTTGACCAAAGTGCGGGCCCAGCTCCTAGAATGGTTAATATCTTGATCACACCTGTTGAGGTGGTTTATTTAATTTCATTTTTTCTACATTTTAAACTTTAGCATTGGATTAGGCTCGTGGTAATGCTTAGAAATTTTTTTGTGTAACGGTCTGGATTGCGAAAATATTTGTTTGATTAGCATGATGGAATCTCACTTCATGCATGCATGTTGACGCATGTGTGTTTTTTTTTCCCTTCAAAAACTTCTGCATCATTCACATGATTATATAAATATTTTTTTTCTCAGTATTTCAAAATGGATCAAAAGAGATATGATGATTATGGTGGTGTACAACATGCTGTATATTGTTTTGAGGTGAGTTTTCCTGGTTTTTGTGGATATTATGTCTGTGATTTTTTTTTTTTTTGCACTATAATCATATTGAAATCATCTACCAAAATATTACTGCATTAACTATCTGCATGACACTTCTCCCATATTATCAATCTACTCTCGGGTGCAGAATGTTTTTAGGTCGAAAATTATTTCAAAGTTCTGTGGTGTGCATAATTTAATCTCCATTTTTTGTATCTTTAAATATAATTTTCTCTGAGGTATGCTGCCTTCTGGTTGAAATTCTCAGCATTATTCTTCAGAAGAAACTTGCAGAAGTTCTTTCCATGCACCGCTTGATCCAGGCACAGTGTTAGGAGGATTTTCCGGAAGCAACTATTCTGATGTAAATGCTCTTCTACTTTTACAAGAATGAATATAATGCTTGTTTGTCATCTGACACTATTTGCTGGCCAGGCATCAGCTTTCATTATTACATATCCTGTCAACAATGAGGTTGGTGATGCAGGCAATGAAAATGGGAAGGCTGTGGCTTGGGAGAGGGCTTTCATTCAGTTAGTCAAGGTTTACTTTTCATTCTCACTCTCTTAAATGTTTTGAATAATTTTCTTTCTTTTGTATTTGATCTTTCATTGTCTATTTTAATTTCTAATATATCAAATTCTTTGTCATGTTTTGGTACACCTATATGATCGCCAGGCATTTCAATTGGCATATCAATTTAGTGAAATTAGTTTTTCCTCAAATATTGATTTGATTGTGAAAATAGAAACCAGTAGAGGAGGAAAGAGTAATTCTTGTTATTTTCTAAACCATACAAAAGTGGTACAATATAATGAGTTCAGGAAACAAGGGAAATGCATCTAATGCAACTTTGAACAGAAATTAAACTACAATACATAAAATCAACATTTGATGCCCATTGTTTCGTAGGACATAAGGAAATTAAAAAATTGAAAAGTTTTAATTATGACTCCATATTCGGGCAAACCGAAGCTATGTGATAAGATCTGTAATTTTGAAGCCTAGGGGAGGTTTTGCCAAAATTTCTTATCCGCTGGGTCTTTGTCTGTTGGGTGTTTGGAAGCTTGGTGGCTTTTCTGTTGTTGTTTTTAGGAGTTATCTCGTAGCGAGCCACTGACCCAATAATTGTACATTTATCATGTGTAAAGCAAGGAGATAGATCCTTTCTGCCATTTATCATGCCAAAAGGGTAAGCTACCATTCCCAAGTTTCCACTGAATAAAGTCCTCAACAGTATTTCTGATTTTCGACATGCTTTTCCAAGTTTTGGAATCACCAATCTGGGAATGAACCTCCAATGTATGAAGATTTCTACAATATTTGCTTTGCATGTATTTAGTCCATAGAGATTCAGTTTCTCTAAATTTTATCCACAGAAGAATAGAATTGACCTATATGCTTTATTTGTTTAAATTCCAACCCACCTACATTTAAAGGCTTACATAGCACCTCCCAGCAGGCTCAAATTATGATTCCCAGACCATAAAAATTTATTAAAAAGCCTTTGAAGTATTAGCTGTGTGCCAGATTTGATCCTTAACACCTGCAAAATATATAAGAGAATAGAGGTTAACACACTTTTCAATAAAGTAATCCTGCCCCCAAAGGATAAAAAGAAATTGGTCCAATCTCCAATTTTTCTTTTGATTTTATCCACCACAACATGAAATTGCATCTGTTTTCTTCTCCCTTTGAATAAATTAACCCCTAAGTATTTTAAGGGGAGATCAACAATGGTGAAGCCAGTATAATCATGTGCCCATGCCTTCATATTGCTACTCACATGTTTCCCAAAATTAAGATGGCATTTCTCAATATTAAAGTTCATGCCTGAAGCTTCCTGAAATGATAGAAGCGTATGATATTTTTTTTTTGACAGAGAATTTGGAAGCATTAGTGAAAGTAATCACATCATCAGCATAGACCAATTGACTAAATCCCATTCTAGTCTTATTTTTGTACCGAGTATGGGGATGTTGAATCTGTAGGGAATTAATTAATCTAGAAAAACAATTAAATGCAAGAATAAAGATAGTAGGTGAGAGAAGATTCCCCTGTTTTATGCCTCTACATGAAGTGAAAAAGACATGTGCTTGCCCATCAAGGAGCACCTGATAATAGGTGCCCTCCAACTAACCTTTGATAAAATTGCAAAACCTTGAATTGAAACACTTGAATTTAATGACCTCATGTATATAATCCCAGCTAATAGTGTAATAAACTTTCCTTAAGTCCAGTTTGATAATAAGATTTCCTCTACATTTATAGTCAAGTTCACATATTTATTCTTGTACAAATAAAATATTATATGTCATACCTTTTCCCTGGATGAAAGCTGATTGATTTGGATAGATTAGGATAGGGAGATGTTGCTTTAGCCTTTCCACCATGATCTTGCTTATGATCTTTGACATTACAGAGCTTAAGCAAATCGGTCTAAAGTGTTCTCATTTTGCTTTATCATTACTAATACAATGGAGGAGGTTGCAAAGTATTTGCACATAGGAGGGCCCCCATAGCAGCATGGAACAACATCAACGACATCTCTTTTACCACCTTCCAAACATTTCTATAGAAATCAAAAGAAAATCCATCAGGGCCAGCAACACTGTTCCCATCACTGTTTTTAACAGCCTTCCGTATTTCAACCACAAAAGGTTTATCAACAAGCTATAAAGATGAGGTTAGTAGTTTAACTTCCCAGGTAATGTCAACATCCAACACTACATCAAAGTTCACCTTAGAAAAAAGGAGCTTGAAATAGTCAATCCCATTTTTAATAATCTCTTCCTGATCTATCAACCAACTACCATTATTATCTTGAATTTTTAAAATAGTGTTGATTCTTCATTTATTTTTAATACTTGCAAAAAAGTAGCCAGTGTTCCTATCATTCTCGAAGAAGTGTAGTTAACTAGCCTTTTTCTTTAGATAATCATCCTAACATTTAATAGCTTTATTTAACTTCTTATAAGCATCAACTAGTTCCGCAGAGTAATTGTCATTGCATATATCCAAATTCTCCATTTTAAGAGCCTCTTCTTCAGCCTTCTTTATTTGTTGATTAAAATCCTTAAAAGTATTGCAGTTCCATTGCTTTAAACTAGCAGCCAAGTTCTTATGAAGTTTCCAGAGTCTTTCCCAAGGGTTGCCCTCACACCTGTATTCCAGTTTCTTTTCACACAGTCAGCATAATCATTATGATTCAACCACCTATTGTGAAAACGAAAAGGGAGAAGGAAGGTTTGTTTGTAATAACAATACTAAGTAGGAGAGTGATCCCGATTCTTCAGCATATTTGTAAGATGCGATGTTTGTGATTATATGTTTAATTTTCTTAGTAGTTATAATTAATTTACAACGAAGTAAAAAACTTGATCCAAAGCAAAAACTAGGTAAGTTTTCCACTATGAAATAAATAAGAATACAATTATAATATTAAATGTGGGATACTACGCATGTATATATATTATTATCAAATAATATAAGACTTTTTGATTAAGCCCCGAATATCGAACCCGTAGGGAGAATAACAATATGCACTTTAGAAAACTAGAAAGTTTAGATGACAAAAAATATACTTCGCAAAATATTTAGGAATGAAAATTTTGATTCTTTTTATAATTTTTGTTTTATGTAAAATAAAGTAAGCAACTAATTTAAGTTAACTAAATATTTGTAAGATGAATGCATTATAAATAAAATATTTTTTTCTTTATCATGAATCAGTAATAAGTATGAAACTTCTGTTGTGGATGTATGCTAAACGTGTTGCGTCAAAGATGAGTAATTATATTTGTTACCCTTACTAGAGATGCTATAAATAACATTAACTAATCTATAGTTTGAATAGTCTTGAAGACCGGTTAGGTAGGGAAGATGTTAACTCACTCTAGAGTTCCCTCTTCTTCCTCCACCTTGGGGGCTGACATCTCGTATCAAAACCTAAAACTATAAATCAAATTGGGGGCTTTAGTCTGTCACTTTAAAGTCCACTAAGTCTACACTCTTAAAAAAGTTTATTTTCTTATTTATTTATACTCAACCCCATGAACTACATTCTCATTCATGAAATCAATATGTGATTCTAACTATTTGTTGACTAAGACAATGCCATCTCGGATCTTACATGTTCTCACAACAGATATTAACATATTAATTGGTCAAATCAAGAAGTAAATGAAGTGCAATGTTTCAAATCATCACAACTTCTTCCAACATTAAAGTCTAATACTATTTCTGACGATTAGGCGCGGGGTACCTGGCGCATAGGCGCCAGCCGCGTAGGCGCCAGTCCTGGGCGCTTAGGCGCCTTAGTTCATTTTTGTACATTTCTTCACTCTTTCTTCAAATTTGATCTTTTTTCACTCTGTTTAGTATTTTTCATCATTTTGATCGTACCTGAAAGAAAAACACATAAATAGATTTCATTAAAGCGCAATATATTAAAAACAGGTATAAAAACGTGTATAAAAATACTATATATTTTAGGTATATTAAAATCTCCCAACTTAAGATATTAATTGTTCTCAAGTGACCCTTCAATCTTTAAAAATCGATATAAGTAGATGATGTATATGAGTTTCTTTAGGAGTTACTGAAATTTTGATGTAGAAATATAGTAGTCCAATTTAGAAAAAATATTAGTAAATAAAACCAACTTATAGTTTAGAAGTTTTTAATGTTAAGAAATATGAAAATATGAGTTTCTATCTAATTCAGAAGTATTGTAGATTCTCCAAATATAGAGTGTAGGCATTTGATCATCTCTACTTAAAAATTTTTATTGAGCATAATTTTACTTACTATATTATATCCTTAAACTTAAAAGTTTCTCAAGTCTTATACTTTAAAAAGATCAGATGTGGAACCAATTTTTGATTAGACACTAATCCTCAAGTTTTTCCTCCATTTTTCAATTTTTCAATTTTTTTTTTCTTCTTCTCAAATAAGGATGACTATATCGGGATAGACTTTTAATGATTTTGAATCTCATTCTTCCTTTCTTAAAACATAATTGATATTTTTCTTTCACTTAAAAACATAATAATAGTTTTGAAAATTACTTTCAATAAAATAAATTTAAGGTTTGAAATTTAAAATCTAAATCTTCTAAATTTTTTAAAAATATAATTTTTTCTACTAAAAATAGTTACACTTTATTTAGCATTTTTCATGCTAAAAATTTTTAACTTTAAGTTTTTATTTATTACTATAAATTTTAATTAAATTTTCTTACTCATTTCTATATTCAAAATTTTACTTCTTTAATATAATTCATATACATGATCATTTTTCTTCAAATTAAAATCAAATTTAATTGAAGCACAATTGATAACAAATAAATTTTTAAGTTCTTTAGAAAATTTTTCATTCCTCCCCCAAACTTAAATTTTTTTAATGAAAATAAAACATTTTAGCATCATATAAATATAGACAGGAATGAAAACTAAAAATAACATGCTTGCAGGAATTTTCATATCTTAAATATGCAAGTACAAAAAATAAAAAATAAGAGTATAATTTTAATTGATCAAATTTTAATTTTTTTAACATATAGAGATTCTCCAGACTTCTATGCAGTGAATTATTACATAAAAACAAACATACACACTAACAAACTTACATGACTGCAACATAAAGAAAAATAACTTGTAGTAAATTGAATATTTTTAAACATGCAGCTTTTAAGTAAAAAGTTAGCTAGATTCTAAACATTCATAAGATCCCAGAATTAAGTTCAGCACAGACTAAGTAAATACTTTAAACAACACAATTAACACAATTAATACCACACAAACATAATTACTCACAAAACACAAATACATCACAATAGGTGTACGATATAAAACACAACATAACAAAAACTAGCAGTCTCAACAATAACAACTAAAAACACAACAAAATGTGCAAAACAATTGCACTACCAACAGTTCACAACAACAAACCAATTAAAAATTAAACAAAACGATAGATACAAGCTAATCATCCTCATCCTTTAAGCTACTCTTCCTCATCCTTGGCATCACTATCGTCACTACGCCAAACAGTTACAGGCTCGTATGGTGGATATCTATGGTACTGAGGATATACAACATACCAGTTACCTCATAAGGTTTTCCATAGCTAAGTTGAATTCACCCTCATAATCACTGTCTCTTCATATACCCATTCATATGCTTCGCAATACGTTCTAAGTTCAATACATTTTCATTGATATAAATAACATTATTCAATATCCTTTCCATTAGCTATGATTGAGAATCAGATCCAAAAGTCTGACCCTGTGAAGTAGAAGCTCGTGACGTCGAAACAACAAAACTACTAGAGAATCCACCCTTCCAGCCAAAAATAGAATGATGTGAATAGGATTTTACATTCACACTAGTAATGGGCTTTAGCAACTATAAGATCTCCTCCCAGCTGTCAAATCTAACTCTAGTCTGCTCGCATAAAGAAAAAATCAAAGATGTGAATCCCAAACCTGCAGTGGTAGCAGCAACGACAGAACTAGTAATAACTCCATGAATCAAAGCTCCAATATCAATAGGCTTGAACTGCAGAATGCAATAGTTCAAGGTTGCTCGATCTTGAGTCACTTCACTCTAATGATTTGTAGGCAACAGACGAGCAGAAATAAAATAATGTCATGCCTTTGCAATGACATCTAACTTTGAAGCAGAAAAGTTTACTCTTCTTTCATTTATCATCTCCCATAACCCTCTCCCGGCAGTCAAAGATGAAATAATTTTGTCTAACTCCTCCGTATGACAATAGTTCGAATAAAAACACAAAGTACTTGGGGGCAATTGATAAAAATGATTAATTACCTCAGGGGAAAAATGCACTGTCTTCCTCCTCACCATGGCTCCTTCTTCCTCAACTTTAGGGAGATTCACATAGAACTCCCGCACAATAGAAATCACTGCGACAGTAGAAAAATAACAAAACCGCTCCCGCTGGCGGCGAACAATCAAATCTTCAACAACTCCTCCCAGACTTTTAAAACACCGCTTAGGAATCAATTTTCTCAATTGCAGTGCATCACTGTATCGATCTTGAGCTCTCGAACTGACAAACTTGTTTGAATTGAATGGAGCCTTCCCATTACTCCTCTTCATTCTCGGTGTTATTTCTAAAAAAATGTATAAAATTAAAATAAATTCCACATTCAACTCCAAATCACTAAACTAAACTCCTAAAAGCTTAAACTAACAAATCAATGCCCTTTCCATATATTTTTTTCTCAAGATGTTCAACTTTACCCATAAATCGAGCCTTAACTGGTAAATGCAAATTGTGTATACAATGGTAGCCCAGCCTTTACAAACATTAATATCAAAGAAGAAGTGCAAATATTGAGGATCATCAATGACAATATTGATGGTTAATTCCTTTCTAGTGAATAACCAAATCTTATTAGCATTGTTGGAAGCAAAATTGTATATGCTAAATCTCCTCGTGATTCTTTGTTTGTTAATGCTCAACAAAGGTTCAAATATGACAGAAATCCAAATTTTATTAGTTATGACCAAATGTTTTAGTCTATCAAGGGAGTTGAGGTCAGCCACCCCTTGATCTTCCATATGAGCATATTAATCATAATGAGAATGGAGACTCGTAGTCATCCTAGCAAGAGTGTCATTTTGTTACCCATCAGAATAAGATGAAACATGGTGCACTATATTACCTTTCTCCAAATTTCTGAGCTCCAATCTACCCATCCTCTTCCTTCTGTATTTCTCAACTATCCATTCCTCTAATAAATTTCTCGCAACTTCCAAATTCTCCTCTGTGGGAGAATGTATATCCACAACTCTAAACCTGCCACATTAACCTTAGCTCTCCTGGTTTCTAAGTCAGCCACTTCAGATTTGAATTGATCAACCTGCTCTATTACTTATCCCTCATCTCCATGTGTGTGAATTGATTCCCAAATTGTCCATTACTGTTATCAATAACAAGAGCAGTATTATTTACCATATCATTCTGATCTTTATGAGTCTCCACTCCCAAATCCTCTCCACTAGGGATTCTGACATATCCCTCCAAAAGCTCTACCTCAGGAACCCCCAAACAAACTGCACCACTCCCAACAACCACTCCCAAATTCTCTACCTCACCAACTAAATTGCCATTTTCAACAATTGTAGCCAGTGCAACATCCTCTTTCAAACTTGACTCCTCGGCATTTCTTACAGGGGGAATCAGAGCATTTCCACAATAAGTATGTAAATTTTTGAGTTCTGGATGCAAGTGATAGCATTGTTCACAAGAATGACCAAACATTCTTCAATTGGTACAATTTAAAGGTTGTTGTTCAATTACCATTTTTTGCCAATAACCTTTGTGCACAGATCCAATCCAAACCTCCTCCGGAGCAACTTTTGTAATGTCTCTTTCAATTAAAGTCCTGGCTGCAGAAGGTCTAGAAAAATTAAAAGTGGTAGAGTCCGTTTTTAGAGGCCTCTCAAAGATTGCTACAATAGAAAAAAATACCTCACAATTAAATAAATGAAAATTTAAACCAGGGAATCAAATCCAAACCGACACTACAGGGGCTCGATCTGTGGATCGAAATCCACAGGCCATTTAAGTGTCTTCATGGCTATATGTTCAATCCGCACTATCCTTCTCGTAAACAGTCTTGTGTAGTCTTCACCCTTAGTTAATTGAATCAAAATCTATCGAATCAAAATCTGTCTTCCATCCAAGAGACCAATTTTCCAACTCCCTGCTAAATTTATCAAGTCAAATTCTTTTCTTATGAGCTCTAGTTTCAGATGCCCATAAGGAAAGTTTCCCACAAGTGCCAACCGATAGTATGAAGCAAGAATAGCACTTTCATTCTCAAATATAAAAATGGCGTGTTTACCACTTTTTTTCCCCGCCTTCCTGATGGAGTTGTTCTCACCTCCAACACAAAGCGAGTCATGGAAAACTTGAGGAAAGAGCATGGTTTTAGAAACCTCATGTTCAATACCACCAGCCAGTACATCAGCAAACGTTCTCTCCATAGCCGCAAATCACAAACCCTACCAAAAACGCCATGGAGTCCCCAGAGCCAGCACCCGCACCGCCATCGTGGTGAGGGCGGTGGGGCGTGGAACGAAGAAAAGCTCGAGATGACGAAGCTCGCGTTCCGCCCGCATGGATCGTCCTTGGCTCCTGTCGCTCGTGAGAGGATGGATCAAGGGCAGCTCGGTCGATCTCCCTTCTTCAACTAAGCCTTAATCACCAGGAACGGCGAAGAAGCTCGAACAAGCTTGTGATGACGGAGCTCGCATTCTGCCCGCTTGGATCGTCCTTGGCTCCCGTCGCCCGAGAGAGTATGGATCGAGGGCAGTTCGGTTGAACTCCCTCCTTCAAAGGGAAGAGTGAAGATGAAGATGAAGGATTGCCTGGATTCTCCTTTCGCTTCCATGTTTCTCTACGTGCTCCTTGAAACTCCTCTTGCATGCTTGCCGGCTGAGCGGCTTTCTTCTCTTGAAACTTCTTGGTATTCTACTCTTGATATAAAATTCAGGGCCAGGGGCACAACCATGAGGCCCGTTCCAAACTGGATCATTTCTGTTTAGTTTGGGCCAAACTGGTTCCTAGTATAACATTGATAGCCCAAAACGTATGATAGATCTATTTGTGGGATGAGAGATGACAATAAAAATGAAAGGTACAACTTGTCTTTTTTTTATTCTAACTAAGATTTTTTTTATTTAATCAAGATGGTATGCAAATAATTTATAAAAAAATTTAATCGATTCATTTTTCTAGTGATATGTGCATTCTTCTTTGATTGTTGAACAATATTATTAGCACACAAATCAAGGGCAAATTTTTGTATGGTTTGTGTTTAAATTCTTTTATGAACATCTACTCTCCTCAAAAGATCTCTTAGTCTTCTTTGGCAGGAAGAGCTGGTGCCTATGGTACAAACACAAAATCTCACGCTTTCTTTTTCATCTGAAAGCTCTGTCCAAGATGAGCTAGAAAGAGAAAGTTCTGCTGATGTGGTAACCATATTGGTTAGTATCTATTTTTAAACAACCTAAGCTTTTTCTTTGCCTGCTTCTTTAATTTTCGCTTTTTTACTTCTGGTTGTTCCTTCGTGTTCCAGATCAGTTATCTTGTAATGTTTGCTTACATATCATTTGCGCTGGGGGATTCTCCGCAGTGGCCTTCCTTTTTAGTTACATCTAAGGTATTTCTTTCCGTCACTTTATGCTTGTGTTATGCATTGTTTACTATTGTTTTTTTTTTAATATCTTAATGGGTACTCATCTTTATATGATATCCTTAATCTTAAAATTTTGTATCTATTACCTTTCAGCTTTGTGAATGTTTCTTCCAAGACTGTTCTTTTGTACCATCACATACTGTTTTTTATCAAACATCCAATACTAGAAAATAACAGATTATTTATTGAACATCATTATGATCGAAAACAGTTATCTAACATTTCATCAGTGCGCTATCTTTTAATGATGAAAATTAAAATTTAAGAAATGCACATTATGACTCGGTCCGAAATCGACATACGATCTGATGATAGTTTATTTATTTATTTGTTTTTTGTGTCGTATTATAAATAATCGAACAATATCTTTCAAAGTTTTGAAGGTCCGCTAAACTATGTAACATTGTTCATTCCAAATTAAAATTCAACTTTCTGACATCTACGTCCATTCCAAAACTAAAATCTATTGAACGCGATGAGGATGACACATAATGGTTGTGATATTGCATTAAACCAATTCAAGATGGATCTCGCAATTGAAAGCTCTCAAATATCGCTCATCTTATCAAAATAACTAGGAAGGCAACAAGAGTGGAACTAGCACTATTTTCATGGTCGACAAATTTTTAAATAAATAAATAATATAATAAATAAATATAATAATAATGATTAAATTATTAAAAATACATAAAATTGTTTTTTCCAGAGGAAAATATGCTAACAAATAATAAGATAATGCCATAAAATTTGTAAGAAGAAATTTAAATAGACAAGAATGCGAAAGTTAATGTCTTTTATTTTAATTAATTAATTTTCCATTGAGAGAAAAAAATATTATGTATTTTTTTTAAAGATGTCACAACTTTGCCCAAGGTCTTGAAATTTCCAAGACAGAAATAGACGGTCGAATATTAAAACTAAAAATTTTCACCTCATTTTTTTTCGTTGTGATTAATCATTACAAAAATAATTGAAAGAGCCACTATTGAATTGGAAATAAATTAAAACAATTAAACTTTATTTCAAGTTGCCCGTGTTTTCTATAAATATTTCCTCATATATTACTCATTTTTACAGGTATCAATAGTTACCACTTCACACCACACTTGATCCTGCAACTAGTTTCCAATCGAAAACTTTGCTAGGCACCTCTTGTCAATGTTGATCCTGTTCTCCTTCAACATGTCATAGCATATGGTCGGGTATACCTTTGAGTCATGAAGTTCAATTTCTCCACCTTTTGCATAGACGCCACGTTTTTGCTCCCTCCATTGATGATGTGACTACATATCTTTTTCTTTGACAGTGCAAGAAGTGTAGAAAATGTTCTGGAGCGGCCATTGCAGTTCCCTTGTATCCTCATTCCGTAGGACCCGTTAAACCACGAGCATCTCATCTTCATCCGGTGGAAAGATGGTGCACCTCATCGTATTCTTTAATTGGCTCTTTGTCGCTAACCTCCTCCACTGCACCTTATTCGGTACGCAACTCGACTCATCTGGAAACTGGATGTGATGTGCCTAAATCCATGGCATCTGAAGCACTTTTGGGATGCGATTGTAATGGGCGTGCTGCCTTCAGGCTTCTTCTCACTCTGAGTGGTTCTATTCTTATCATAACCGCCTTGTCAACTTTCTGAGGCATGCTCTTGCTGATGTCCCCCATTGCGGGTGGCTGTTTGAACAATAGTGGTTGTCTGCTCAGTTTTTGTTCTCTCCACCTTCAACACTAAGGTCTGGACATCCCCTAGTGACCAATAGGGTTGCAATTGCTTGCTGATAGCGCGCTTCAATCCTCCAAGATATCGGCCTGGGGAATGTTCGTCTAGTTCGAGCAACTCACATTTCATCTATAGCTGGTCAAACTGTACTATGAACTCATTTGCTACAAGTGGTGGAGTCTTAGAAACATATCCTAATAGTAGTGAGGTGGTGGGTATTTTCTTTGCACTTCCTTCATCTTATCCCACCTGGTAACCTTGTCATTGTCCTCTCTTTTTCTTCTCCTATGCAATTTTTTCCACCATAAGGAGGCGCTCAACTTGATTGTTGCTAGCTTTATCTTCTGACATTTTTTTGTACTCGAAAGTCTTCTCAACTAATTGCAACCATTTCATGAAATCGTCGGGATCCACACCTTTATGGGGTTCCGATAGGTCCACCCTATTTCGAAATCTTTGTGTCCTCCATTTACTACCTCCTCTCTCAGCCTGATTAGATACTGAATTGTGAAACGCCGAGGCTTGAAGTTCTCTCTAAGCAAGGGGTTCCAATTTTTGCCTCTTTATTCTCTCTGACTTTCTCTATCACGAATGAGGGTACTTTCTCCCCTTGTCTCGTCATCAGTCTCTGCATGTCTCCGCTAGAGTCGACAGATCTCTCATTAGATCTCTTCCCTGGTATGTTTCAACACGTGTCTCTTTGATGGCATGGCTAGGGTTTGGGAATTGGCAGAGGTAATTGAGGGTAGCGTAGAAAAAATTGGTCGGAGGTCGCTTGGGTAGGGATGAATGCTAGAAATCCCTTGGATAGGATTAGAGTTAGGCTAGCTCTGGTATCAATTTATATTGGAGATAACCCGAACAACAACAAAAAATTATTATTGCTAAAAATAAAATAAAGAATTGCAAACAATCAAGTGAAATAGGGGAAAGAACAACACATACACAACACATATGGGACTAGGGTACCATCCCAAGAGGTGTGGTGTTAACTGCTATGCGGGATGGAGGTGCGGTAGGGTGGTTGTGGCTGTAGGATGGCAATAGTTGGGATGAGGGCTGCTGTGGTGTGATAACTGAGCAAGGTTGGCCTGGTTGATGAATGTCAAATGGAAGAGGAAAAATTAGGGACACCGTGGCTGTTCTAATAGAAAACACAGCAAAAAGCGAAAAACTAACCCTAAATCAGAGAATGTGACATATAAATACTAGTAGATAACTAAAGGGACCTTCCCTCACTTTGGTGGCAACCCTAGCTCAAAGACAAGGGCTGGTCGACTCTTGATTACAGCTGGCTAAACTTGTCAGCCTGCACCAAACCAGGCAGCCTCCTGCATGGAGAGTCGAGCCCTGCGTCACCTACCAATCTAGCTATTCTCTTAAAAATTTCTTTAGAATAATATTTATATATGGTCTTTGTTTTTATAATCACAGTACATGTATTTTTGAATATCTAACTAAATACATTTATTTACATTATTTGCATCTTTTTCTTCAAATCTTTATTCATGTAAAGCAAAATATCTTTCTTAGAACAAAATATAATCATATCATCACAATCTTTTTTAATGTTTATTTAAACTTGTAAAAATATTTGATCTCAATTTTATGCATAAACATAGCCATGCATAAAGCTTTAAATAGAATTAGGTGTTTAATATTTTTCTGTTGGATTTCATTGAATGAAAATTATTTTCCTTATTTATACTTCCACCCGTCTTCCTTCATGAGCTCTGCTCTTGCTCTTCCTCATAAAACCCTAACCAATATTTCATAAGTCATTTAACAACTATACGCTGCGTTTTCAACCAAGTTCATAGAAGGAAATCAAAATAATTTATTTTAGGCTTATCTTGATTCAAATAAGGAAGAAAATAAATTCTCAAACATGAAATCCTTCTTTCGGTTCTTTACTTAGCCACATCTTGCCCTCTGTGTGTGGCCTCTCTCTATTTCCTTACTCTTCTTGCCTCATTCTTTATCTCTTTACCCTCTAATCCTACCTCCCACTCTTTGTTCTCATCTCTTGGTTCTCATCTCTTGCTCTCTCCTTTTTTTTTTTTTTCCTTGCACTCTCAAAACCTCTTCAACCTTGGTCTCGGTCACTCTGTTTGTGGGTCACAATGCCAATCCAACTGAAACTACAGTGCTGGTTCATTTTCTAGTAACTCCATTTTACAAACTACCTTTATGCGTGTTTTACTTTTTTTGTATTTTTAATTTATCAGTTCACTTTAAACTGATTCTTTTGCCCATTATATGATTAGTGCAGCTTATTATGTAGTTGCATTCTCTCAGTCTTTTAATATAATATTTCAATTTCAAAATTCAAACCTGATTAATGATTCTATAGAAATAATATTATTTCAGGTATTGCTTGGTCTGTCAGGAGTTTTGGTTGTTATGCTCTCAGTTCTGGGATCAATTGGATTCTACAGTGCTATTGGAGTGAAGTCTACCCTAATAATAATGGAAGTCATTCCATTTCTTGTGTTAGCAGTAAGTTTATACTATTGATAAATTATACATAAGGGCCTGTTTTTATTTTCGATTCTGTAGAGGTTTTAAATATCTGCAGTTCTTGTAATATGAAAATAATTCTACTTGCTTTTTATTCAAGGAATTTGCATGCAACCTGTATCTTGCATGGTAGAAAAGCTGTTTCCAGATTAAAATCTGTGACCTTTGAGGGGGCAACTGGAAAGTTCATTATTGCTCCAATCTTGTCCTCTATTATTTTCACATTAAAGTTCGAATTATTCTAGTTTATATTAGATGTTAGATTGCCTCCACTGTGATCTAGAGGTATGAGTCCGAGCCATGAAAACATCCTTTCCACAAATCTTGATCATGTAATGTTAAGTGCATCAACCCTCCTTAGGCCCACATTGGTGGACCTCCATGCATTGGGTGATTCCTTTTGTATTAATTCCATTAAGATCCTTTTTATTAGACGAGCTTTTTGAAATTTTTGTTTATGTTGAATTTGTTAGAAAAAGGATTTCTTCTCATATTAATCTGCCCATTTAAAGTCATGATGATGCTTTGTGCAGCCAAACTAATTTTATGTATCACTTTACTAACATGCTCACGGACGTTATGATGCGCTATTATACTATTGTCCATGCAAAGCTTCTTCACAATGAATGATAACTGAGAAAGTTTTAGCAACAGTTAAATAACAACGCAGATCGTTCTCACTTTTGGATGCACATTAAATTTAAATGACTTAATGTATTCCCCACTTACCGTGGTGATCGGACCTTGCTAAAAGCTCATTTGTGTAAAAAATTCTATAAAAAAAAATTAAAATAAAAAAAAAGTCTGTTAGGAAAGACACCTTTTGGTGGGGATTAGATGGTAACTACTCATCATTCAACCATATCTAGTGAGAACGACTGAGAGAGATAGTGAGAGAGGAGAACTTTAAAGCCTTAGCCAATCGAAGTGAAAGGAGTCAGGCGGCTCGGCACGATACTTGTGAAAGAAGCGAAGGAGGAAGATGGTAACCTCCGTTCTCTTCTTGCAAGAGGAATTAGAAGAAGAGAAGGTCATTGTGGGTGCTCTACAACATCAAGCCACGAACAAATAGCAGGAAGGGAGTAGAGCCTCGACATGCGTTGAGTTTGCCGAGTTCGAAGGAGAAGAACCGGGTCGGCTGAGGAAGAAGAGGAGGAAGAAAAGATTTGAACAGGAAGAAGGAAAGGGGTTTCGTGCCTTACCAGATTCGTGCCGCGCTCGATTGCAGAGGATGAGGAGGCAACAGTGTCGTACGCTGCCCTGGATTGAACCATGAGAAGGAAGGAGGCGGAGGCAACATGCTTTGGGTTGAGTCGAAGTCGAGGAGGAAGGGAGGAGGTGTGACCCTCAACACTGTGCTTGCGTAGCAGAGGATGAGGAGCTCACGCGGTTGAGCCAAGATTGAAAGGAGGAAGATGGGCGAGCTTTGCGCTTGACTTAGGGCAGAGGCTGAAGCTTTTATATAAAAGGTTTGTGAAATATTTAAGTTAATATATTGTTAGATAAACAATTATATTTATGTGTGAGGGTACACTTAATTAATTAATGTAAAGTTTTATTAAAATCAGAAGATTAAACAAATAGTGAATTTAGATGGAGGAGCATGCCAGAGAGAGAGGAGATTGACGTGTGTCAATCCGCCAAACTTTACCCATTACTTGCCATCAAGTACTCCCTTTACTTTGCTCAGATTTTGAAGGAAATAAAGTACCTTTCTGTCATGCAGTTCTTGGTCTTATTAATCGATATGATGTGAAAAATTTGTTGAGGTTACATGATCTCCATTTTTGGGTTAGGATTTCTTTGAATAATACAATCTTATACCCATGATTTTTCTTCTATTTAAACATAAGAATTCTTTCTTATTTATATTGGTAGGACTATGATTTCATTCTTCCTCACTAAAAGTGATTGAGCTCTTAATTCTTATTACACTAAAGTTTCCCTTAATTTTTCATGAATTTATAAATTCCTTAAGATTTTTGATAAAAATGTGTAAATCATTTGGTATAAGGAAGAGACTAGAATGTCAAAAATTTAAATTTGAAATTACTTATCCTCATCTTTAGGCTTTCCACAAACTTTTTTGATTATATATTTTTATGTATTCACCCCACC